TTTTATCCCATTGCATAATAACATAATTAGGTTATTGGTAGGCATTGCTTGCATTAACCTTGTTTTGTTCAAATCAAGGTTCTTCCACAGCTAATTTGTTAAATTGAAAGTTTTATTTCTGAAGACTGAAAGGAAACATTAGTTCACTCATTGCAAAAGAATACGAAACACATTAGCTTTCTAATTTAATCAGGTTATCATTTTTTTACGTTCTAAACAACAGTGGACTTCTCTGTTCACTGGTTTCAAGACGACTGGTAAAAAGGAACGTGTGTTTGGTGGAATATGGATTCAAGGCGAAGTTTTGGAAATGACCAAGAATGTTATTCAGCCGTATGCTCCTAGCTTGAATGTGGAATATGGATTCACCCCAATATACCGAAATGTTTTCAAATCTCATATGAATAAGTTGTGAACACAGATACATTGGACAACAGATCGCAGGTTTGGTGCTCTTACCACTGACGTCCGTCATATCTTGGTGTCGAATTCATCATAACGTGAAGGTAAGATATCCATCTCGTGCAATTTAGTTCATCATTCCGTAAAGTCACATTCGACAGTTGAGTGCTCCAACAATTGGCCTCGTGCGAGCCTCAGTTGGCGCGTGCAACTGGACGCACCTGAATTTACCACACACAAAGTAAAGCCTCTGCGCTGACTTGACACAGCCCATTTGGTTGTGTCTACCACGTAGCACTGCACGCGTTCCGCAACCACCTGAGCATTCATGCGAGCTCGTTAGGGTGCGCAATATTCTTATTTAAAACGGATATCCGGAAAGCCCAACCGACCGGACTATGCAATAGGATATAGGAATTTCAAGGAAACGGTAGTTGAAACGAAATCAGTATACATCTCTCTGTCATTTTAAGGTGACAGTCTCACAGATAACGTGAACCGATGATTAAAAAGCTTCGTCAACAAAGCATCCCACACTGCTAAACTGATGGTTACGTTCACATCTAAGCCAGTGGTTTGTTAGCGGTTAAAAGACAATGTGCTTGTTTCTGCAGCCTCATTCTCTATGTATTCTTTCACTTGTTCCTGTGGGACAACGACCAGGCACTTGTCTGAATGCACTCGTGAGCATCATCCAGCGTGGTGGAGGACTGGAACAATTAGGTCAATTAACGGCGCTGTCGTTTCACACCTGGCTGAAACTAATCACATGGTGAACGTGGATCAATCATTCAGTCCCATGTATAGGGTCCGAAGTCGACTGTCAAGATCGGTGAGAAGTCGCATCTTGGCCACAGCGGAAGCCGTCGGACTTCGCCTTCACAACCACCCTTTATGTGCTCAGAAGAAATTTGTGCATGCACTCAGTCTACCCTGGTTAACTCACCACCCAACTTCAGGTCCAAGAAAGTCCGAAAGCCTACATGTTGAGAAAGTGTTAGTCCATTCACACCTGGTCTCCGGATAATCCTGTACCACAGTAAGTGCGAACAATGATCCCTGGCATGAATTTTGTTGACTGTATCCCTCATGCATCTAGTCATATATATTGTGTTGTATTTGCATGAATAGGAATCACTGAAAACGAACTTGTTCGCCAACCCGTGTTTTTTTAAATCTCATTTCTGTCAACCAGAGAATACTGACTGTGTTTCACGCGCGAAGCATATCACTGATTATGTGGGACCTGATGTGAAATGATATGATGCGCTCTAACTCATTCCTTTCTCTATGGTCTGACACCATCATACGTGTTTGTTCAAGTTAGCTCATGAAAGCCGATTTGCATTGACGCACACACGTTCACACGCACAGATCACGGATCAATTCGAATGCTCTTGTACCACTGATCACATCTGATTCAAATCAATTTGTTCTCAAGTGGATTGGATGTTCCTCTATTTACCTGAAATGAGTTCCAAATGACAGGTTTAGGTGACTCTAACCGGGATGAAATTGATCTTCAATGATCTGATCTACACTGAACTGAGTTACTATTATCCAGTACATAGGATACACAGTGGAAAATGAGAGAACTGATCACAACAATGAATACAGCAAATCGTGTGCTGCTTGTGACTAGTGTCAGGGAAGGCAGACTGGTATTAATGATTGATTGAGTTCTCAAAGAAGGGGATTTTCTGTTTCACTCAACATAGATTCGCTGAACGCCACCAGTTTTGCTTTTCGGTTTCTGAATCGTACTTTGAATGACCTGATCAAGTCAACTTGATGACCTGTCGACAGTAGATGCCTCACGATAACCCATGATGGATTTCTTGCCGGAATTTGTTTTGCGCAGTCCAAATGAGTCATCGAGTCAAAGGTTACTTCGGAATGTCTTCAGTCACATTTACTAATGAACTGAACTGGACTGAACTGATTTGAAATAAACTGAACGAAACCGAAAAGCCATTATATTGAATCCGACTGTACTCCTATGAGGGCAGCAATGATCCTCCAATTATTTGTAGCTTCTCTGACACTTCCGATTTCATTTTATATAATATCGTTTTGTGCATTTCTTTTTCACAACGCCATTCCCTAGCCGCTTCTCGGAAGATTTATTCGCACCGGATCAGGTCAGGTCATAGTGTACCTTTATTCATCATACCGAAAGAATATTGAGTACCATGTCCATTGACGGATTATTTATTTACAAACTTGCAGACTGCTTGAATAATTGAAATAAGAATAAAATGACTACGCTGTTCTTGACCGACTGCCATATGGATTACAACTTTCATTCAGAAACCTTAATTTATCGAATCAGTATTGCAGTCATGAGCACCAGACTCAAGTGGCGGTGCATTGGTAACACACACGGCTTCAATGTGAGAATGCCGCGGTTTCATACCCTGTGCGCGGTAGTGAATATGCAACACGGATTAGGTCCAACAAGAAGAAAGCTCGAGTTTGGTGCTTCTGATGCGATGGGGAATAGATCTAATACGTAATATGCGATGGGTGAAGTTAAGAAATGGTAGGGATGGAGCAATACATGTGTAAGCCTTTAGTTATTTCGAGCCCTTGGAACAATCGAGCAGACCTATTGCAACGCCTTCGAAAGTATTCCGTAAATTAACATTCATCTTGTACAATAAAGCAGACCCACAAATATTTCGGATAATTTAATGTTTTCAACGGGAATAGTGTCTGATCCACTCTAAAGTAATCACTTTAGAAGGCCCATCAGAATCGCTATGGCAATAGTCGCATGTCATCGGCTGTTATGGAAGCTCTTAGCATGCTATGAATAAATGGATTCTTTGTGTACCAGTCCCCCACCCCCTGGTATGACGCTATGACCTACGTTTAGTGTCTTCAGATTAAATTTGTTGAACCCCTGGGGCACTTGTTTGATACAAATCATATCGAAATCGATAGGCAGAATGGAAATTCAAAAAGATCAGAGTGAGCTTTACGAAGAAAACGAGCCAGTGTTGTGGCCGCTGAATAATTTGGAATTGGTTTGACAAATGAATAGTTTGTATGTCCGTCTCTTCCCACAATCCCACTTTCTAATATATTGTTACCATATATATTCATGTAGCCGTGCTCTAGTCTCAGAGCCTTGTGACTACTTATATGATGAATTCCCAACTGTCATTCTACTTGTTTTTCATAAGATACTCCGCATACCCGTGGGAGACTTAACTAACATCCACACGTGAAGTGTCGCACCGGCTGAGCTATGTCAAAGACGTCGTATATGTAGCTCTTTCTCCGATGGTTTCGTGTCCATTTTGTATGTTATGGATGGGTCTATTTAGAATTGTCCAAGTGGGTTCGCTTTTCATTCGGTTGTAATCAACGAAACAATATATATTAACTAGCCTCTGGCAAGTTTCCTGGTGATGGCGGACTAAAGACGGATAGCTATGTTGAGGCATAGACCTATCTCATCTGTGAACTTGAGGAATACGGGGACCTTAGATAGAGACGCTGAGGAGTGGATAAACTAACGTACGTAGTCTCAGACTGCAAAAGAGATACTCAAATATCAAGGATATTAGGTAATAAAACAGCGAACAGATGTTCAAACTTCTGGCTCACATTGTCGCAATGGGTTATCAACAGCATGTTACCGAAGGCATTCGATAAAGTATCGGATAACTGTTCGTTGGCAGCATACACAAAGGAGTGTTAGAATAAGAATAGAAGTAATACCCAGAAACTTTATACCTTGGTTTTCGCCTCACCTCTGTTAAAGCGAACACTGAACAAACTTGTACTTTTAGGAATATGAAATTAGCAGTTAGTGTTGGAGGCTTGTCATCAGCACCCACAAAGTAGGATTTCGAATACACCATTCCCTGCAGCCCCGCACAGTCCCATCCGAATTTACTCAAATTGAACTTAATTGCTGCTGTTGTGGTGTGCTTTGCCCAGATAAAAATCCTCAAAACTGCTCAAAATGTTACAAAACCGACTAGAACCTATCGATGGAGGCGTAAACCCTGAGGCCACTATCGAGAGAGAATGAGAATATTTGAGGATACTGTAAAATTAGATCCTTTATACAGTAATATTTTGCGCATTAAATTGAAGATCAACGAACTCCTAATGCTACTCAGTTTGTCGCACCATTAAACTTTTGTGCTGGATTGGTTCCGACAAAGATATTGAGGCCCAATTCCCATGTCAAATTTGATGAATCTACCACGTCGCTTGATGCCATCATGATCGGGCGGTCAAACAACATAGGATACACCATCCCTGGAGTATTCACCCCTATTCCAATGCGAACCAGTTACATGAAGATCGAAATGATTCTGGTCCGTTCTCGTGCATGGTCACCCATTAAATCTCTCGCTTTGACATGTGTCACTCACACAAATAGTACGTTGCAGAGTCATCAAAGTGAAATTTAACTACACGTGGTTGAATAATTTGAAATACAGAACTGCGGATTTCTGAAAATGTACATTTGTCAAATGTATATTTCACGTGATTGAGATCATCATCGGTATGACCATTAAAGAGGATAATAGGCTGCATCCCATGGGTGGATCTGATTAGTTTCTCAAAGTGGGCACTCAGAACAATGAAGCTCCGATGACGGGGAACAGAATCCAACTAGTTTTGTGAATCAGTGGCCGTATTGATCCACCTGAAAACGAAGAACAAACGCTAAAATGAACTACCGCGCAGAAAGAGTCCAACCAGCATGCAAACAATGGGACTCGCATGTCAACGGATGTGAAGAATGGCATACGCAGAGACAAATGGACAAGAAACGGATAACTCACCAGTGGCAGATGTAGCTGGAAGCAAGAAGATAGAATGGATGATGGTATAAATAATCGAGAAAATGTGCATATCTCATCAAACGGTGAAATAAACGAATCAAAGAGAACGATGTATGAGATTTACATTGCCGTCAAATTAATAGCCGGAGCCGGAGAAAGCCATACTAAAGAAATGATAATAATTCGCTGCATAGGACCAGTTTGTGTGCCCGTTATCGCACGTGCGTAATTCGGTGACCAAAAAGTGACCAATAAATAAACCAGTGATTGTTCGACTTCAGCCCTCTCAATGTGATCGATGCCAACAAAATAAGACCGGAAAATTCAGCTTGACCACAAGATGAGTACAACGAGATAATTTCAAACATAATGAGGCTAATGAAAATAATATTGTGACTCAAATTTGAGCCCACTTTGTGTGAACACTGTGGCCGCCGGTTGGGAGAAATTTGCGTGTTTGGTTGAAATGAAGGCGTGGAGAGAATAAGGAAATGATTTTTAACTGGCTACACCATTGATAGATGTGTTCCAGTTGATCATGTGCATCTCAGATTGAAATAGTCCAGGACCACTGACACATGAACGCAGGTGAATCAATATATATATATATATATATATATATATATATATATATATATATATGTATATATGCGTGTGTGAATGCAAATCAATTATCATGAATCGCATTCTTCTTAACCAGCTGATAATATCGGAGACAATTCGATGAAATCAGAACAGTTCATAATAAATCAGATATGATTCAGAATGTGTATTGTTCTCTGGCAATGCATTGAGCTTAGCCAACATGATATCACGAAATCTAAATTGTGCAAACCGAATAAATTGCCTCAAGTACGGGCATTGTGTCACTGTTACTCCTCAAACCCCGTTCGACGATAGAAAACAGGAAGATATGTCACATTGTTGAACGACTCAAGTCCCATCGAATGTAATGCATGTTTGATGAAATGAAATAAGTTATGCGCATATTCTTCACATAATAAATTCCATCGCTGCATCCATTATGATCCTAATTATTTTTTAATTCAAAAATAAATTTTATGGATATATTTAGTCAGATATATATGTGGATGGTCTTATAGAGAAATGAAGTGATGGATAGGAAATATGCACTCACTTTGTGCGGCCCTTGTGGTTACAGGTTGAGATGGAGTCGTTTGTGTGGATGAGGCGGTTATGTTGCCCGCACTATTCTGTGTACCTGTTTGGGTGGGTAAAATAGGAAGTGGATGGCTCACTATGTATTCAATCGACAAAAGTGCAATATCTGATCTTGTGTTTGTCAGATCGAAACGTGCACCACCAAGTCGGTCACATCAACGGATGAAACAAATGAGTAGCAAGTCGATCCGGGATGTGTTTGTGCATGCGTCAATGGAAGCTGGCTAACATGAAACTACTTTTTCCTAAAGTCTGATAATGTCAGCCTGGGTCGTATGAACTCATCGAGATCGCAAAAGATCGGATCAGATCCCATCAGGTCAAGTTAGATGCAGTTAGATGTGGTCAGCGGTGAAATTTGGTCTCTGTTCGGGGGTGGTAATTGACCGCTAACAACAGCGATAATGTACAATTAGTTAAAATCATCTAATGCAAGGCCCTCTAACTGCAAATCTAGCGTGTTCGATCTTGCCAGTCAAGAGACTAGGTTGAATATCGATCACAGTAATCCCACGGTTGCTGTGTTGATTGATGAAAATCGGGAAGTGAAGCAACATTGACAATCGAATTGAATTGAATCGAATCGAAATAAATGGAAATTCATTTAGAAATAATGAGGAAAGTGTATTTCCCCATACATGCCATGCTATCGTTGCATATGCTTTCTTCACAATTCATTGTTGTAGATGTATATTGATATATGATGAGATATATCCAGTCAAAATGGTACGCAGCGGTAGGATAAGGAGACATACATAGAAGTATGAAGAGTACACTTACTCTGTGCAGGCACTCGCGTTGTTGGGCTGACAGTAGTGCCTTAATTAGTTTGCATAGCAGATCAGGTGGGAAAAATGGAGAGAAAATGGTTATTTGAGTATAAAATTTGCAAGCATGTCCAGTGCGATTGTGTGTTTCATTTAATTGAAAGTCTAACCACCAACTAGACCAAATATACCGATGAACGAAATCAGTGGCGAATCAAAGTGTGAAATCGTGTGGGCGTCTATGACAACTACCTATAATGAAATTACTACTTTCCACAAATCTGAAACATATGACCACATTTGGTTAACCCATTTACATCAGTTCAGATTTGATCATATCAGTTCAGTTTATATCAAATGTGATCCGTGGTTTGCCTAACGACTCAACAGCGTTTGTCTAACGGTCGCGTCTTCTCACTGATACACAAAATGTGTTTAAGGTACGGGCACGGAGCTGCAAATCATGTGAAGCTACATCCTGCCTTTCAATGCTCAGAAGGATATAAATTGGTGACATAGCATAAGCTGATTCTTGTGACCATTTATTTTCTGATTTCTCGTTGAACAACGAAAATCGGTAAACGCAGTTATTTCCTCGAACTAATTGAACGGAATATGATTAAAGGAATAACATTAATGAGCACATATATTCTTGCTGCATTCCTTTTTCAGATAAATGTGCTCGGTTTCCGATTAGAATTTGACCATTCTGAGAAACAAGTTTACCTTCACTATCAAATCATATAAGATTGAACTGAATGGAATTGGGCTGAAAGCTGTAATTATTATGGGTAATGTGTTTATATGTGCCCATAATAACGCTGTAATATTTTGTGTACCAGCATCTCCTGGATGTAAGCTTTGTTTAGAATTTGTTCAAAATATGTTGTGTGATATGAGCAATAGAGCACATACCTAGATGTTTGGAGTGATAATCAAAATGACACATGGATACTGTGAGCTCACTTGAGGACTCAGTTGTGCTGGATCCACTTGCATTTTCGGTCGTACTCGAGTCAGTCCCAACGGTAGTACTTTCCTGCATATCTATTGAATTGATAAAAACACGGATAATCGAATATCTACTCCGATGTTCATATTTTCATTTGCAAATTATATTATCCTTCCATTTTCTGTTATAGTCGGTCCTATCATGCAGGCGAATCAGTTCGTGTAGACCCTCATCTACATCAGTTCAGATTTGATCATATCAGTTCAGTTTATATCAAATGTGATCCGTGGTTTGCCTAACGACTCAACAGCGTTTGTCTAACGGTCGCGTCTTCTCACTGATACACAAAAGAATTTGTCCAAATGTGTTTAAAGTACGGGCACGGAGCTGCAAATCATGTGAAGCTACATCCTGCCTTTCAATGCTCAGAAGGATATAAATTGGTGACATAGCATAAGCTGATTCTTGTGACCAACTATTTTCTCATTTCTCGTTGAACAACGAAAATCGGTGAACGCAGTTATTTCCTCGAACTAATTGAACGGAATATGATTAAAGGAATAACATTAATGAGCACATATATTCTTGCTGCATTCCTTTTTCAGATAAATGTGCTCGGTTTCCGATTAGAATTTGACCATTCTGAGAAACAAGTTTACCTTCACTATCAAATCATATAAGATTGAACTGAATGGAATTGGGCTGAAAGCTGTAATTATTATGGGTAATGTGTTTATATGTGCCCATAATAACGCTGTAATATTTTGTGTACCAGCATCTCCTGGATGTAAGCTTTGTTTAGAATTTGTTCAAAATATGTTGTGTGATATGAGCAATAGAGCACATACCTAGATGTTTGGAGTGATAATCAAAATGACACATGGATACTGTGAGCTCACTTGAGGACTCAGTTGTGCTGGATCCACTTGCATTTTCGGTCGTACTCGAGTCAGTCCCAACGGTAGTACTTTCCTGCATATCTATTGAATTGATAAAAACACGGATAATCGAATATCTACTCCGATGTTCATATTTTCATTTGCAAATTATATTATCCTTCCATTTTCTGTTATAGTCGGTCCTATCATGCAGGCGAATCAGTTCGTGTAGACCCTCATCTACATCAGTTCAGATTTGATCATATCAGTTCAGTTTATATCAAATGTGATCCGTGGTTTGCCTAACGACTCAACAGCGTTTGTCTAACGGTCGCGTCTTCTCACTGATACACAAAAGAATTTGTCCAAATGTGTTTAAAGTACGGGCACGGAGCTGCAAATCATGTGAAGCTACATCCTGCCTTTCAATGCTCAGAAGGATATAAATTGGTGACATAGAATAAGCTGATTCTTGTGACCAACTATTTTCTCATTTCTCGTTGAACAACGAAAATCGGTGAACGCAGTTATTTCCTCGAACTAATTGAACGGAATATGATTAAAGGAATAACATTAATGAGCACATATATTCTTGCTGCATTCCTTTTTCAGATAAATGTGCTCGGTTTCCGATTAGAATTTGACCATTCTGAGAAACAAGTTTACCTTCACTATCAAATCATATAAGATTGAACTGAATGGAATTGGGCTGAAAGCTGTAATTATTATGGGTAATGTGTTTATATGTGCCCATAATAACGCTGTAATATTTTGTGTACCAGCATCTCCTGGATGTAAGCTTTGTTTAGAATTTGTTCAAAATATGTTGTGTGATATGAGCAATAGAGCACATACCTAGATGTTTGGAGTGATAATCAAAATGACACATGGATACTGTGAGCTCACTTGAGGACTCAGTTGTGCTGGATCCACTTGCATTTTCGGTCGTACTCGAGTCAGTCCCAACGGTAGTACTTTCCTGCATATCTATTGAATTGATAAAAACACGGATAATCGAATATCTACTCCGATGTTCATATTTTCATTTGCAAATTATATTATCCTTCCATTTTCTGTTATAGTCGGTCCTATCATGCAGGCGAATCAGTTCGTGTAGACCCTCATCTACATCAGTTCAGATTTGATCATATCAGTTCAGTTTATATCAAATGTGATCCGTGGTTTGCCTAACGACTCAACAGCGTTTGTCTAACGGTCGCGTCTTCTCACTGATACACAAAAGAATTTGTCCAAATGTGTTTAAAGTACGGGCACGGAGCTGCAAATCATGTGAAGCTACATCCTGCCTTTCAATGCTCAGAAGGATATAAATTGGTGACATAGCATAAGCTGATTCTTGTGACCAACTATTTTCTCATTTCTCGTTGAACAACGAAAATCGGTGAACGCAGTTATTTCCTCGAACTAATTGAACGGAATATGATGAAAGGAATAACATTAATGAGCACATATATTCTTGCTGCATTCCTTTTTCAGATAAATGTGCTCGGTTTCCGATTAGAATTTGACCATTCTGAGAAACAAGTTTACCTTCACTATCAAATCATATAAGATTGAACTGAATGGAATTGGGCTGAAAGCTGTAATTATTATGGGTAATGTGTTTATATGTGCCCATAATAACGCTGTAATATTTTGTTTACCAGCATCTCCTGGATGTAAGCTTTGTTTAGAATTTGTTCAAAATATGTTGTGTGATATGAGCAATAGAGCACATACCTAGATGTTTGGAGTGATAATCAAAATGACACATGGATACTGTGAGCTCACTTGAGGACTCAGTTGTGCTGGATCCACTTGCATTTTCGGTCGTACTCGAGTCAGTCCCAACGGTAGTACTTTCCTGCATATCTATTGAATTGATAAAAACACGGATAATCGAATATCTACTCCGATTTTCATATTTTCATTTGTAAATTATATTATCCTTCCATTTTCTGTTATAGTCGGTCCTATCATGCAGGCGAATCAGTTCGTGTAGACCCTCATCTACATCAGTTCAGATTTGATCATATCAGTTCAGTTTATATCAAATGTGATCCGTGGTTTGCCTAACGACTCAACAGCGTTTGTCTAACGGTCGCGTCTTCTCACTGATACACAACAGAATTTGTCCAAATGTGTTTAAAGTACGGGCACGGAGCTGCAAATCATGTGAAGCTACATCCTGCCTTTCAATGCTCAGAAGGATATAAATTGGTGACATAGAATAAGCTGATTCTTGTGACCAACTATTTTCTCATTTCTCGTTGAACAACGAAAATCGGTGAACGCAGTTATTTCCTCGAACTAATTGAACGGAATATGATGAAAGGAATAACATTAATGAGCACATATATTCTTGCTGCATTCCTTTTTCAGATAAATGTGCTCGGTTTCCGATTAGAATTTGACCATTCTGAGAAACAAGTTTACCTTCACTATCAAATCATATAAGATTGAACTGAATGGAATTGGGCTGAAAGCTGTAATTATTATGGGTAATGTGTTTATATGTGCCCATAATAACGCTGTAATATTTTGTGTACCAGCATCTCCTGGATGTAAGCTTTGTTTAGAATTTGTTCAAAATATGTTGTGTGATATGAGCAATAGAGCACATACCTAGATGTTTGGAGTGATAATCAAAATGACACATGGATACTGTGAGCTCACTTGAGGACTCAGTTGTGCTGGATCCACTTGCATTTTCGGTCGTACTCGAGTCAGTCCCAACGGTAGTACTTTCCTGCATATCTATTGAATTGATAAAAACACGGATAATCGAATATCTACTCCGATTTTCATATTTTCATTTGTAAATTATATTATCCTTCCATTTTCTGTTATAGTCGGTCCTATCATGCAGGCGAATCAGTTCGTGTAGACCCTCATCTACATCAGTTCAGATTTGATCATATCAGTTCAGTTTATATCAAATGTGATCCGTGGTTTGCCTAACGACTCAACAGCGTTTGTCTAACGGTCGCGTCTTCTCACTGATACACAACAGAATTTGTCCAAATGTGTTTAAAGTACGGGCACGGAGCTGCAAATCATGTGAAGCTACATCCTGCCTTTCAATGCTCAGAAGGATATAAATTGGTGACATAGAATAAGCTGATTCTTGTGACCAACTATTTTCTCATTTCTCGTTGAACAACGAAAATCGGTGAACGCAGTTATTTCCTCGAACTAATTGAACGGAATATGATGAAAGGAATAACATTAATGAGCACATATATTCTTGCTGCATTCCTTTTTCAGATAAATGTGCTCGGTTTCCGATTAGAATTTGACCATTCTGAGAAACAAGTTTACCTTCACTATCAAATCATATAAGATTGAACTGAATGGAATTGGGCTGAAAGCTGTAATTATTATGGGTAATGTGTTTATATGTGCCCATATTAACGCTGTAATATTTTGTGTACCAGCATCTCCTGGATGTAAGCTTTGTTTAGAATTTGTTCAAAATATGTTGTGTGATATGAGCAATAGAGCACATACCTAGATGTTTGGAGTGATAATCAAAATGACACATGGATACTGTGAGCTCACTTGAGGACTCAGTTGTGCTGGATCCACTTGCATTTTCGGTCGTACTCGAGTCAGTCCCAACGGTAGTGTTTTCCTGCATATCTATTGAATTGATAAAAACACGGATAATCGAATATCTACACCGATTTCCATATTTTCTTTTGCAAATGATGCTTCTGTTTGAGACCGCTATTCTTATACAGGTACCTGTGTAAATTGATTTACATTTTGCTACGCTAATGTGCCATCCTCTGTGTTTTCCGCGGCATATTATCTGGGAGCTCCTAATACAATCAGCCCTACATTCCTTCATTTCAATCATGTCTGAATCACTTACCATCATTTTTTCACTTCTACATTCAACCTCTCTAAGTTATTTTCAAATCACAAAGCGCAATCTGAATCACTTGTTATATTACAAAATTATTTTATCGTATTGAGAACAATACACTCGTCCAACATAAACCAATTTGCAGAAGAATTGAGAATTCATCGTAATCCCAAAATGATAGTGGTACTTACTCATTCCACGCAAACAAATGACCAGCAGGAGTAAACCAGTGACAGTTCGCATGCTCATTGCAATGCCTTGGTTGGTCGGGTAATCGAGGACTGTTGCTGGTACTGTTGACCGTTTTTTATATACCTTCGTGTTTCATCGATCACAAACACCCA